TCTGGGATCGGTTGAGTCTCTGGAAGCTACTCCTTAAAGGACGCAAGCGATGTCGTGTGAGCTCCCGAAAGGTCCGGCGCCTGATGAAGAAGACAAGGCTGTGCACCGCGTGGAAGAAGACGACTGCCAAACTGGAAGTGGCATTGGCAGCTGAACGAAGGGCATACAAGCAAGCCAAACGTCAGGCAATCCAACTGAGACGGGACTTTCTTACGGTTCAGACAACGGATGCGAAGAAGAAGAAATGGAAATCCCAGAAGGCCCACGATAGATTCCTTTGGTTACGACGAATGAAGCAACAAGAGGAGGCGAGATGTCGTCGTCGCGCCCAACAAAAAGGATCTACAGGGGGTTTACGGGCTATTCAGTTTGAAGAACAATTACCAGATGGCACTCCGCATCTGCGTACTATCACCGACCGTGCTCTGGTTGAAGAAGGTTGTATGCAAGAAAACGCGGCACGGTACGACCAGACGTGTGCTCCATATACAACTCCACCTATGGTGGAACCCTTGTATACAGCATTCACCGGCACTCAGGCTGAAGCTAATTCCATGGCACTATTGGAAGACCGCTACTCCCTGCCCAGCCTTCTTGACCCTGCCACTACGGCCTTTCTTTCACATTGCGGATTTCACAAGGATCACTTACCTGTGCACCTTGAGGTTACGACCTCTGATCAGGTGCACTTCTGGTCTCAAAATCCGGAGGACAAAGGCTCAGAACCTCATGGCTTGCACAACGGACACTTCAAGGCAGCGGTTCAGTCACCAGTTATTGCCTATTGCGACGCCCATTTTCGCAATATTCCTTTGGCAACGGGATTCGTCCCCTCAAATTGGCAGAACTTGGTGAATTTTGCAATTGAGAAAAAGGCAGGTAACTTCCGGCTGTCGACAATGCATACTATTCAGTTAATGAATTCGGAGGCACAGGCGAACAACCAAAAAGCCGGTCGGGCGGCCATGCAATATGCCAAGGAACACTCCTTGATTCCGGACGGTCAGTGCAGTTCTCGGAAACGCCACCAGGCCATTGATCTGGCCCTGTCCAAACGTCTGGTCTGGGACTTGTTGATTCTCCAACAACGCGCAGCTGGGTGGATCTCTAACGATGCCAAATCCTGCTTTGATCGTATTGTTCATTGGGTGGCAATCATTTCGATGCTCCGGTTTGGGCTGACATGGAGGGTCCTATCCTCCATGTTTCACATGCTGTCATCAGCGACGCATCGGGTGCGGACAGGCTTTGGTGATTCAGAACGTACTTTCAAGCTGCCTTCCGTTATCCCCTTCCAAGGCTGTGGTCAGGGTAATGGGGCTGGACCCCCTATATGGATCTCCGTCAGCTCCGTTCTCATTACCATGATAGAAGCGATGGGTTACGGCTTTGAGTGCCTCTCAGCACTGGAGTCACAGTTGGTCACAGCCCAATGCTTCTGCTTTGTCGACGACACCGATGTCATTGAGGCCGGCAATACAGTACATCACTCGGGTGAAGCTATATGTGCATTGGTGCAGGACGCCGCCACTCTGTGGGCTGGGGGAATCCGAGCCACAGGAGGTGCGATCAACCCCGAGAAGTCCTTTTGGTGGCTCATTGATTTCAAGTGGGACTCAGGCACATTTAAATGGAAATTCCGTGGAAATCAAGCAGTTGCCCCCAACTTTGAACTCCAAATTCAAGGTCTTTCAGGTGCTACTGAATCCTTGCGTCGCCTTGAACCAGACGACTCGGAACGCACTTTGGGAGTTATGCTTTCTCCCTTGGAAAACCTTGAGGCTCACATGGCTCAGATGGTTGCTAAAGCTAAGGATTGGGCAGAACAGCTTCGACCCAACCTGCTTCACAAATATGATGTCCTTCCCCTCATCAGGTCGACCATCATGAAGAAATTGGAGTATCCGATGGCGCTAACAACCCTGGATGCCCAGCAATGGACAGTCATTATGTCTCCGGTACTTCAAGTGTGCCTTCCGAAGGCGGGTGTCTGTCGTAATTTCCCTCGGGATGTCGTATTTGCTCCGCTGTCCTATCAGGGTCTTGGACTTCCACATCCGTTTGGTTGTCAAGTGTTTAAGCACCTTGAGATGTTGCTCCGACATATGGCCAACAGGACCAAAACTGGTGACTATATGGAGGCCAACATCCAAGCCCATCAACTTGAAACGGGGACGTCCTTTGGACTTCTGCAACAAGTCTACACCAACACGGCGATCCTCGCTTCAGACACATGGTTGAAACGAGTCTGGCATGAGCTCGAAGGTTTGGACATCTATGTCGCCTATGACTCTCCAGCCCTCTCCCTTCGATGTACGGACGACTCCCTTCTGATGGATCTCTTCATCAACTTGGAGGTTGAACAGGAGGAACTTTTATGGCTCAATTGGTGTCAAATGTTCCTCCAGGTATGCACAGTGTCTGACATTGTGACTGCTGATGGCAGGTTTATTCGTCGCTCCGCGTGGAATGGGCTCAGGGATGAGTGCTGCCGCTCGCCATACCAATGGCCAAGGACAGTTCGCCCAACAAGGCAACACTGGGACCTGTGGCAGACCACCTTGTCCAGAGCCCTGTTTGCCTCCAACGGGCCACATCACCCACTACAACAGCCCTTGGGGCCATGGACTGACCGTCTGGAGGACTGGAATTGGTTACTGTCCCCCACCACAGGCCTTTTCCACCGCCATGGGGCAACCTGGAAACACTTTAGCTCTGCGGGCTCTCCCACCACGTCACGTCGCTACGCACCAGCGCCGTCACCTCCTTCCTGCCCATGGTGGACTGCACCGCTTCCTTCTGACACTCTTTGTGCTACGGTTCGCTCCATCACAGGATATGACAGGGTTCTTCTCACCGGTACTGGCCGTGCCTCTGAACCGTCTGCTTCCTCCAGCCCATCCATCCTTCACACGTGGCAGACGGCTGCCGAGCTCTGCACGGACTATTACGGGTGGGTCCCCGATGAGATCGAGGTTCACGGTGACGAAGCCACCTTAGCTGATGCTCTGTTGGACGGTCGCCTGCGTGTGATCAGCGATGGATCCTTCAAGAACGAGTTGGGGACCGCGGCGGTTCAACTCCTGGTGAAGCATGAAGGATGCCATCAAATCATCATCCGGTGTCAGACTCCCGGTTTGCCCCAGGACCAGAGTCCATAAAGCAGTGAACTCATTGGTCTGTTGGCCGGTATAATGGCGGTTGATTGGCTCCTTGAGCAATGGTTCCCAAACATTTTGACTGGCCCCAAGGTGCGGATTGCTTGCGATGGCCTCTCTGCTATTGAGCTGGCTTTCAAAGATCGTCCCCTGTCTCCAACTGATGCCCAGTTTGACCTGGTATCGTCCATTCGGGAAGCTATCCTTCGGTCCTCGGTGGATTGGGCGCCCCAACACGCGTATGGACACCTAGACAAGTCCAATCTCTTTGACAAACGTTCTTGGTGGGAGAAACGGAACCTTGAGGTGGATGGAATGGCGATTGAGTACCGTAAGGAACTTGAGACGGCCAATCATCTTATAGCCCCCAACCCTCGTTTTTTCACTTAACTTGCGGCAATGTACGTAGCAGACACCAAACAGTCACGCCTTGATCCCCAGTTCATCCAAGAGTGTGTGACTCTTCCGGCCCTACGCTTTCGCTGGAGGGACAAAGGTACTATCTCCGCTGAAGCCGAGTCTGAGATTGCCTGGGACACAATGGGCCGCGCCATGCAATCTCTTCCTGCAGGACTACAAAGGTGGTCTACTAAACATTGTGTGGGCATGTGCGGCACAGGCAAATTTAAAGTTCTATGGGGTCTGGAGACATCAGCAGCTTGCCCATGCTGCGGCGACTTCGAGGATCATCTGCATGTTCCCCGCTGCCGCGCTGCTTCGGCAACAGCTGAATGGGATCGTCGCACTGCAGCCTTCTCCGCGTGGCTAGACCTGCAACTGACGGGCCCTTCCATCAAAATAGCGATCCTACAGCTTCTTCAGGGCGTTCGCACACCTCCTTCATTTCCCCCAAGGCCCATCTCCTCTTCGGTTCGGCCGGCCTTCTTGGCTCAGCAGGTGATTGGGTCTCAAGGCCTTTTGGAGGGACGCATCGCCTCGTCTTGGCTTCCACTCCAACAACAATATTATGACAAGATAAGATGTCGACAATCTGTCTCTCTTTGGGCGTCCCGCCTCTCACAACAGCTGATCTCCATCGGCTTCTACATGTGGGAGCAATGGAACCCCGTTCAACATTCGGATGATAACGTTCAATTACGTGAACGTCACAGTGCTGTCAATGAGGGGATTCACTCCCAGTTTGATATGGGCCCCGATGACTTGCCTAAGGAAATTCAACCAATGCTAACATGCCCTTGCCGAGTCCTTCGCAAGTTATTGGTAGACAAGGAAGAGTGGCTTAAGTTGCTTTGTCAGGAACGCAGATATTTCCGTCGCTCCATGAAAGCACAACGCCGCAGTCTGCGGACTATTTTCTCCCCTGGACCCTGACCAACTTTTTGCGGGACCTTACATGCTCCAAATTCACCCCACCACGTTGCGGGAGAAGTCTTTGGGAGACTTGAGCAACTTCTGTTCAAAATACAGATGCCTCATATGGTTCAAACTTGTTGTTGACTCACCGCTTCACAGTACTTGACCTTTACAGCTGAATATTTCACCGGCAATCAAATGCCCATAGAGTAGCATATTAACGATTAATGTCTCAGTTATTATTAATATGGATTAAAAGTGGTCTTCAGGCGTGTCAAATAGATAGGATATACCGGTAGCTGGGTCAGAACCAGCTTGTCACATTTTTGAGGACCAGCCTGGTTGTTTTAGCCAACACTACACTTTGGTGGATGGATATGTTTGTTGATTGAACTCTGCACATTGTTGTTATCTTCCATGGATACATCACTGAGTACCTCTTCCTCTCCTCTCTCTGGGAAATCATTGTGGTCTATGCTTCCAGAAGAGATTTTTTGTACCTGCTTGTGGAGATCATTGTTGATCGACTTCTGGCAAGAATAGCAGTAGAATAAAATCTAATAGGAAGTGGTGAGACTGTTCATCCGCAGGTAGAAGCCCAGCATCACTGGCACCTGTTCCTATTGTAGGCAATCCATAGCCGGCGTAGATTTGAGCTCAGTATACTCCAGAAGTAGCTAGAGCGTTGAGGCTCTTATTACAGCTACGGAGTTGATTATCTGACATGTTTGGAATTCACGTGCATGTGTAAGAACTAATGAAGTACTGTTGGGACTAACAAAGTACTTGTGGAAAATCCAGGTATATGGATTAAAAGTGGTATAGAAAAAATTATTTCAGAAACGAAACAACACGCATTCCGGCAGAACCAACCAGTCTGCCTCGTGTAGCGCTAGTACTGAATTTACGTAGAAAACTTTCGAATTTATCACCAAGCCAACCATTCAACACCGGCGCACCATGGGCAAATCTATCAACGCGAAGGCATCCTCGGTGATGACAAAAAAGTCGGGCGTGTCTAAGATGAAAACGACCTCTGGGGCTAAAAAGTCCGTCAAAAAACGAGTGGAAATTGACCTACAACAGCCTAAAGACAGGGATCCCATTGATTCCAGGATGGTCTCTGCAACCCAAACTGATGAGAAGCGTGTTATCGACGACAATGAAGCGCAACGCATGGCTGATGAGATTCAGGCAAAACGAATCGCCGAACGAGAAGCTCGCAGGAGTGGACATTACGACAGCATTGTTCCAAACCTGTTGGAGTGGTGGATGAAGAATTTATATTCAGGAGATGCTGTTGACGAAGCATTGGAACGTCATGACCGTATCCATAGGGGTAACGCGCTTTTCATGGCGTGGGAAGAACGTTTTCCTGCTGCTTGGAACCAACCCTGCCTCCGGTATGACGATCCATTTAACGACAATACCGGGACAACAACTTGTGAAGATTGTTTCGCTCGCATTTTCACATCGATGAATTTGGATAATAGTCAATTGACACAGTACCTAATTGCCGCATTTGACACTGAAACGATGGAAGTATAAAATTCAAAAATCAAAATTCAAAAACCAAAAGGTAGAAAATATTCTTCCACACGCTTCTCCAAAACAAAACTGTACCAGTCCTACGCGTTTCGTACGTAAAGGAAAACAGTTGTTGTTGTTGAAACAGGAATTAAATTTAAGCCAACACAAAGGATAGCATCACCAACCCGCCGGAGAAGGACCCGAATTCGATCATGACTGTAGCTGACCTTGGTCAGGGAGGTCTCAAGGAAAAAACCCGATCAAATTTGACCACTCAGTCGTCGATTGCTCTGACAAAGGATAACCCTGCCATCACGACTCCCAAGCGCAGCAGCAAGGGAACCCCTTCACCAACCGCCGAGGATGGCGTAATGAAAGGTCGGTTGCTCTTCCCTTCTGAAGTGGCCCAAGGTCAGGATGGCCCCACAGCCAAAGCTTGATCAGACTCGACCACTCTTTTGTCGATCAATCTCACCAAGGATAATCCCAATCGCACGACCACCAAGAGCCAATGCAAGCAACCCCCTCCTACCAAAACCGCCGAGGATGGCGCAGTGCAAGGACGGCCGCTCGTTGCCTACACCAAGAAACTCAAGGTGTCAAAGTTTCACCGGCTCTACAAGAAGGCTTGGAGGAAGGAGGTTTTTGGGAATGAAGCATTCATCACTTGGTCCTCTCGCACCGCGGATCCCTCTGGTCGGGCAATATCCAAATGCCCCGGATGGTGGGCGGAAGCTAGTACGGACCAAGCAGATGCTCATTCCTACGACAAAATCGCTGCGTTAATCCTGTCTGGCTTGAAGGTGTACGACCCATCACTTGGTGGTTCGATGCCCCAGCTTCGGTCCAGTATGCAGAATCTGTTTTCACTTGGGGACCTCAAAGACGCAGACGACGACAAAGGTTCCTGGTCTCTTTGCGAGTACTTTCTTCGTCTTGCCACACAGTGCCCCACGGTTGTGTTTGATCTGGCAACGGCCCAACGCATTATCAAAACTGACAAAAAGTCGCCTCGCTTTTGGGAATTCTCGCTCGTGTTCGACCCAACATTAATTGTTCAACGCGCCGAGCCGTTGACGTGGATGTGGCTAGCGGCAGCCGAATTCTTTGCTTATCCTTGGACTGGCCCTGCGATCATTCCTCCCATTGTGGAGGAATTCGAGCGACTAGAAGGAGAGTCGAAAATATCCAAAGCTCAGTCCAAGTCTAAGAAGCGCCCTGCATCTACTGCAGAGAACCCAAAAAGTGCAAAGGCCCACGATTCGCGCCCGTCTCCTTCTGTCCAGATGCAAACGGATTTTGACGCCACCACAGGGTCGGTCCAATCCCTACCAACGAACTCCACCTTCGGATGCCACTCCTCCTCGCCAACAAGTGGTCATGTCTGACGCTGTTCACGTCATTGCTGGCACCCCAACAGGAACACAGGAAGCCAGTCTTCCAGCTGATGACGTCGCGGTAGCCAACACCCACCATGGGAGGACCAGTGCGGAACATGGAGCAGAGGAACACAATAGTGCCCCGACCTACAGGGACACTGTTGCCGCTCTCCCCGCTCCCACGGTTCCTCTCACCACCGACAAACGATTGATGCGCCTTCTCGCCGTCCATTGGAATGCGTCTCCCTTTTGGCACATTACCATCTTCAATGTGTCCGTTGTCTTTGATTGGCAGGGCGTCGGTTCGTCCGAGTTCAATCAAGTCCAGACTGCCTACAACGCCTTCCATCAGTTTGCCTCCGGTATCT